ATGGTCACCCAACACTCTTCTCTTTCACTCACTGTGTTCTTGTCATTTTTCTTTCCTTACCTTCTCCTCTCCTTTTCACTCTTAATCATTTTTTCCTCTCGTCCTTATTTCTCCTTTTACCTTCTATTTTTCTGATTTTTCTCCTTACCCATTTTTCTTTGTCCTTCATTTGTTCTCTTTGCTCCTTATTTTCTTAGTTCTTTTTCTTACTTCTCTGTGATGGGACTAGTTATACTGGAGGTGCTACTTACTGGTTAATTCATCAGCTTTTCCTCATCCTAGTTATTCCAATGGTAGCATTCCACCTTTGAGTAACAAATCTTCCAGCCAGGTTACCAACTGGTAGGGGAGCTTTTGTTTTCCATCTCCACTGGACTCCAAGCTAGGGACCTGCATGAGGCAGAGACAGGAAATACGCCAGTGTGCTACAGGGCTGCCTCCTGGGCCACTTCTTATAACTTATTTCCCAGAACAAAGCATGGTTGAAAGGCTCCCAAATGATTCAACAGAACTTAGAGCAAGGGGTTCCCTAGTCCTAGAAAATGACTAGTTCCTTCTCTGGTCTTGGGATATCTTCAGTTGCTCATATTTCCCCTGCAGCCAGGGCTCCTACTGAATTCTTACATGGTCCCAAGACAGACCTGTCTTACTATCCTGTCTGCCCCCACCCCTCAGTCTGTGCTGTTTGGCTTTCTTTTAAGCTCCTTCTATAGCTGAAGTCAGGTCTTTCAGTGTGACGGGATGGAGTTACCTAGTCCAAAAGTGCTCCTTTACCCGTTCTATGCTAGTGCAGAATTTATACATTCCATCACACTGTCCCATCCTATTACCCCCTCATGCGGAATAACTGGTATTGAGATGTTCTCTGTACAACAGACTAAGAGCTGCAGAAAACGACAGTTCACAGGGGCAAGAATTTTCCTATATTTTCACTTCAGCACTAAGGAGTCTTCTGGTGTGATCTCTGTTACATATTTGAACCAATCAATTCTAAGCGATGAATGGACGTACGACCCAGGCGTTGTCAGGTAAACAGGGTGGCTAGTTTCCCATAGTTTTTAGCTCTTTTTCTGGAGGTATTTTACACACAAAAGAAAAAAGAGGATGTCAGTTAAGATGAGCACATAAAATAAATGGAAGTGAAAGAAACTGAAAAAAGTTAATGGAGAAGGGATTACAAAATATGCTCTAAATGTGAAGTTTGCTCCACATTAGTGAACTATGTATACATGAATTTAAAATAGTATTCCACCATTCACATCAGTTCAGTTAGATTGCTCCTGTGACAATGTCTGTCTTAAGAATGTTCCAGAGTCAAAATCCCAACAGCAATAGGAAAATGGGGCCATTAAACAATGACACTAAATATTTATGTAAGCCCTGCCACTTTTCCATTTTATAGTAATAGCTGAGTGATTCTAGAAAGGGTTGGTATACACATAGCAAACAAGAGGTTAATTCTGATTGGCCAACCTCTTTGTTTAATAATAGAAACAATGGATATCATAGGTTTTTCTCCAAGTTAGAAGTTTTGGTTTAGAAAATTATTCATCCTCTCCTGGGTCACCAAATGAATTATGCTTGTCATTTTACACCCAAACTGGTGCCTGATGTTAATTTGACAAGCCAACTGGTAGAATCCTTAAAATGCTTTCCTGTTAAAGTTACTAGACAGAGTTGAAATTGTGCATTAGGGCATCAATCAAGCAAACCATCTGTTCTAACAGGATTTTTGTGCTTTCAAATTCAAGGGTATTAAAGCAATCTGAATGAAATGCTGATTGTTTTATAAATACTGACAAGGATCAGTATACAGGAAGCTAGCTATTCAGTGTTTCTTAGACACGATAATTGGCAGTAGTCATTTAACTGGTAAGATGTTTCAAAAGATGTTTTGAATAATTATCATTTGATATGATGTGTCAAAGTTTTTTCATTAATTCTGTATCAAACAAACCTTTCTTATGCTTGTAGCTTGATAATTAGTTTTGAGACACACATTATATATGAATCAGCTCCTCCCCATAAATCTAATTGGAGGGTGTAGTTTCCCAAGGCTCGTCTCAACTACCAAATAAGTTCTAGATTAGTTTTATTGGCTCTGACATCTCAAAGTAATTATTTCCTTTAATCCTGACTGTTTTGTACTACTGTCAACACTACCACTGATTTTCTATATACAGTTACATTTTATTGGACTTTGTAAGCAGCTCCTTCACTGATATTGCAAATGGGAAGGAGGAGCATGTGAGAGATCAAAATCTATAATTACAAACTGCTAAATAATTTTAACAAAATACCTATATTTGCTGGTAACTAAATTAGACTCTCTTAAATTTACAAAGCACCAATGATCCAACCATACTTCCAATAGAACCAAAAGTAACGCATCTACCACTCACCTTGAAAGCCAAATGCATCCCATTTACACTGTTACACTCCACTGTCTCTGTACCGGGAGTCCTAGAATTTATAAACATAGGTCTGCATACCAGCACTGTATCTCTGTGTCACACCACTGAGTTTCCCACAGTTGTTTCAAACTTCCAATTTCTGTATTTGGAAAAGATATTTTCTGTTTTATTTATGAAGTCTGATAATATTTCACATAATTTTAATCCTTAATGACCCTTAACCTACTTTTCAAATAGTACATACAAGAAATGTCTCTTTCATGAAATGAAACCACTTCTGGGATGGAAGGCTCCAGCAAAAAGGACAACTTGTTCATAGGAAGTTGTTCAACAATGTGATCAAGTGAAATTTGGGTAAAAGCCACCTAATGAAAAGTGCCACAAATGTTATAATTTTCACTTTGGTATTTAAAGACTCATCTTTATATATTCACATACTAGTAGATTTACCCAGCATTGCTTGGGTCCTTAACTCAAATAAGTGTAGTTTTTCTTTGTTCAAATCATTGTTCTGGGGTGGGGCTAGGGCTGGGGGGTTTAGTATGCATTCTACCGCAGGGAGAGAGGACAACTCCAGCCCTGCCACAGTGCAGCAGCTTGAGGTTAGGTGAAAAGCATTTTTCTGCAGCTGCAGTAGGCACAGCTTGGGGAGGGGAGCATATCCCCCAGCTGGGGAACAGGCAGACACACAGACCAAAAAACAGATAAACTCTCTGAAATAAATAGTAGATAGATGTCCCTTTCTCCATCTCTCCCCCCTGCTGGCCCAATGGGGTTATAGACATCCCGGTCTTCATCCCTGGTGCTTGTTGCCCCCTCTTGTGGTCATTTTGCAGTATAAATTGCATCTTCTGCCAAATCCCTCTCTTTCCATTTTATGAGAAACAAACCAATTCCAGGCACATTCCACTGGTGTGGAACAACCAAATTCCGACCTTGTTTTAAGTTATGATAATAGGAAGCTGCATACCAATTTTGGTGGCCCTTGCTCTTACTGTTAGGAGGAGTTCTTCAACAAACATACTCAGAGATGGACAGACAGACAGATGGATATACATTTTTAAAACATATAGTAAGGTAAAATAAGAGAGAAGAAAAATGGAGAAAGAGAAGATTATCTGACATTATGTGATAGACTTTATAACAGTACAACATTCTATATAGTAGCAATCTTTCTGCGCTGATGATGCCATATATGTTCTCTGAAGAGTTGTTGAACAGACTGTAGTGGAAGAAACAGATCTCCATTCAGTGAGGTCTTATTAACAGCTGGGAACTAAAAGCTGCATTTTCTTTTGCCCTTAAGATAACACAATTGCTGGGATACAACAACATCTTATGCAGTTTATGAAGTAGTGATCAATCACTGATTGACAATTCTAATTAGCAACTCCACGAGGTGAAACATAAGAGAATTTTATAGCAACTTTCTGTTGCCTTTAAAAATCTCCACTGCCATCCTGTGTGAAATAGAGGGTATTTTATAGACCATTCGATACCCACTGCTGCCAATTATGTTTGTTTATACTGAAGAGTTTTATTGGAATAGTAGCACATCACTTTTGGATGTATACATTCATAATCTCTCAGGCTATGTCTAGACTGCAGGTTTCTTTCAGAAGAAGCTTTTCGAAAAGAAATTGTTTAAAAAAACATTTTCCGAAAGAGAGCATCTACACAGCAAAAGCGCATTGAAAAAGCAATCTGCTTTTTCGAAAAGGTAGCGGCCACACTGAATGAATGCTATCTCGCATGTAAGTTGTGATTACTATGGATCAAGTGGCCACCAGGGCACCTGTGCTTTTTCCTCTTCTTTCGAAAGAACTCCCTCTTCCCCGACCACACACATCTTTTTCCAAAAGAGCGCTTTCGGGAAAAGGCTTCCTCCTCATAGAAAGAGGTTTACCAATGTTGGAAAAACTGCTCTGTTCTTTTGATTTTTTTGTTGAAAGAACATGATTGCAGTGTAGATGTAAATGACGGTTTCAGAAAAATTGCCATTTTTCAAAAAAAACTCTGTCGTGTAGACATAGGCTTAGTGATCTCTCCCAAGACTTTGGTGTTTTTACACTTAATTCGTTAATGGTATTTCAGATTGGCACAGATGGAATATTTTTATTATTATTCATTATTACTATTATATTCAAAACTTAGTATGTTGCAGGTTGCCAAAGCTGCTCCTCATTCTGGCACTCCAAGTGCAGAAGGTGGGAGCCCGCAAAAGACCTTAAAAATACTTTGCCTCTCTCCATAGGCTTCTGCTTAAAAGCTTCCCAAGATCACAGATTTCCTGGCCTAGAGAGATAGGCTGCCACCACCAAGTGAAAAAACTCTCTTTTCTTGAGCCCAGAAAGAAGCACTTAGAACTTCTTCCAGAGGGGTACCCAAAGTTCTTCTAACAGAAGAGATCTTGAATAAAAACTGATAAACTAATCTCTGATAGCTGACCTCTCAGTCTTAGGCAGACCTCCTATCACCTTCCAGGATGCAAGAATCAAGTCCCCTTAAAAAGTGATTTTATTAAACAAAACAAAAAGATTTACTTGATAAAGCATATTTGTTTTCTAGGTGTCGTAAAGAAATTGAGAAAAGAACAATTAAAAAATGCCCCGAGAAAATTCCAGCCCTGAGAAACAGCATTATAGAGGGGGGAGCGCACATGGACTTAGCACGGAGAACTCTAACCAAACAACAGAACAAAGAATATAACTTGATTGTGTCTATATGGACATTTCCCTATCCACTCATGATCTATTCTTCAAGGTCAAGTCCATTTCCATGCCCAGTATTCTTCGTAGGTATGTTCATCCTGCCTGGTTCAATTCATCTTGCTCCCCCAGCTTCTGCATCAAAACTCAGGGCTGGCTTTACCATGAGGAGAACTGAGGCAGCCGCCTCAGATGCCAGACTGTGAGGGTGCACCATTAGGACCCAGGGTGTAGAAAATTGTGTCTGCTGCCTGTGCATATGTATTCTCTCTGCTCTAGATGCACAGAGATGGCGGAGTGCTATGCTGGAGGAAGGAGGGCACAACAGGCAGGCAGGCAAAAGGTGGCATGGGGGCATCATTTGAGCTCCCCGCCTCAAAAGTGCCAAAATTTTGTGGGCCGGCCCTGTCAAAACTCACACAAAAAAAGAACAGCAGACAAATATATCTTCCAATTGAAATCTCAACACCTTCTCCCATTGGCTTTCCTGGCTCCCTGCCAACACCTTGTAGCCACCTGATTTTAACCCTTTTAGTCACCGAATGCTGGGCTGTTCAGAAAAGGCCAGTACTCTTGCATCACACAGGTATGTTTAGAGGTAAGTTTTCCTCCTCACAAACACACACACCCTGCCCCCACAAAAGTGATGACTAATGGAATAAACTAATCAAAAGACAAATAACATATCTTTAAAAATAAGGTGCTAGGTTACTAAATCGTGATGAAATATGTTTTGTTTGTTGTTGAAAACATGCTAGAAAATGGTGTTCATTTCCCCCATAATTTGAGATGTGAAAAGAAATCTCTAACTAGGTTTTTTTTCTTTGGGAAATTTCTTCAAAAAACACCAACCACAAACAGAATAATATTTATACAGCATATGACTCCATTAAACCACATTATTGTTGAAAAGAGGTACATCAGGAAGCCAGATGTAAAATATAAGAAATAATAAGCTTTCCTCTTATTTCCTGGATTTCTGTTATGGACTGAATTTTGTTTCTCAATATTTCTCTTAGAAAACTAGGCTTTCCATCATACAGAAGGTGATAAATTACTGAGAAGAAACAGTATCTTTTCTTGTCATGGATGTGGACTGTAGCAGAGATCTGGTTTCCCTTGTGCTCTCAAAGCAAAAGACAGTATGTAAAATAACATTATACTTGTTTCTAAAAATCTCAATACAGCAGATTAAGCTTAAATGTTTCCTTTGACACATTGTAAATTAACAAATGAACATTTTCAAAACTAAATTTAAAGATGATGCATCAGCAAAAATTTTGTAATATCACCCACACAAAAAATAAACCTGGTAAAATACAATTAAGAAGGCTGATGTTATATTCTCTTGAAGTATTAGACATCAGCAGAAAGAATTCAGAGTACAGCAGGGCAGCAACAACTAAGTGTGATTCATTATTAAAATTATGCTTTTTTATTTTATGAAATATTTGTCATATCAAATGCTTCATTGTTCCATAAAGCATTTCTTTTATTTTTCTCCATTAGGAGTTGTAAGAACAGTGTATCATTCCCAAAGTATGAGGATTTTTGTTGTAAGCATAAATTAACTCATCAAGATTTAGCACTATTATACATTGGCTGCTGAAACCCTTAAAGTTGAACCATCATCCTTCTTCAATATTAACCTTACTGGATCTCACGAAGTCAATAATAACTTTACTGGGAGGAAGTATTATATTTTACTTAGAATGGAAGGCACCTGAAGTACTGTTGGCATGAAACTTATTTTAGTGTATGTCTATTCTGCCACCCTAGTTCAAACTAGGGTGGCTAATGTAGGCATTCAAACTTGCAAACGAAGCCCAGGATTTAAATATCCTGGGCTTCATTTGCATGTTCCCGGGCGCCGCCATTTTTAAATGCCCTGTAGTTCGAACTACTTGCCCACGGCTACATGCGGTACAGACTAGGTAGTTCGAATTAAAGCGCCTAATTCGAACTACCGTTATTCTTCCTGCAAGGAGGTTTAACGGTAGTTCAAATTAGGCGCTTTAATTCGAACTACCTAGTCTGTGCCACTTGGAGCTGCGGGCAGGTAGTTCGAATTTAAATATTTAAATCCCAGGCTTCATTTGCATGTTCCCGGGCAGGCGCCATAGACAGGTAGTTCGAACCACGGGGAATTTAAAAATGGCAGCGCCTGGGAACATGCAAATGAAGCCCGGGATATTTAAATCCCAGGCTTCGTTTGCAAGTTCGAATGCCTACATTAGCCACCCTAGTTCGAACTAGGATGGCAGTGTAGACATACCCTCAGAGGTTATCTTTCAAAATATTAGAAATTTTTTCTAAACTGCTTATAAGCAAAATGTCATCCTTATTCTCTCTCTTGGAAAATTAGTCAGGATGCAGTAAAATATTTTTTTAACTCAGAAAGAAGAGTTTGCATTCTGTTGCATTACTGAAA